CACCAATGTAATTTCTGGATCTATTCTTTCCAAAATGCCAAAACTCTAATATCTTTTCATTTCTAAAAGTCACTAACATTGTCCGTGAGCTCTCCAATTAAAAAAAAAAAAAACCTACGAAATGAGACAAACATTCAAATCTGTAAATTTTTAGCATTTAAAATAGAAATAGCTTTCACGGTATTGAGTGTTTCACAGTAATGGGCATTAAGCAGATATATATGTATATATCTATATTTTCTTTAAATGACGTATCGTTCCTGAGAGCACTATTTTATTATATGAGTACCTCTGGACAGGCCAGTTAAGTATGTCATTTCTTTGCTCCTTACCTCTTGTAGCACAATTTTGTGAAGGAATATAAAATGCATTTGGGGTTTTGATAGATTTATTATGTGCCAATCTATCTGTATATTTGATGAGGTTCAACTATCTCCTTGTGAGATGTATGGTGTATGGTGCGTTCAAGGATTACCGTCTACCCGTGTTAGTCTTTGGCGTAGCTGCTCCCAAGCAGCTTCCAGCATCCTGGCTCCAGGGTTAGGGACAGTGGCATTTTGTTAAATGTCAGCTTTGATAGGACTAAAGCTAATTACCCAATTTCACTTCGTATTTTTCTCTAATTTTTTTTTTATAAAATAGCTCAAGGGTGCTAATTAAATTTCTCCCTACAAAGCCTATCGCTTTTCTCAATGTTTGTCTTTCTAGCGATGAAATTTACACTGAAAGCATTTCTGGGAGAAGTGAGTATATTGATCATTTTTGGATTGCTTAAAACTACTAATAAAATATTTTAAAATGTTTCTGGGTAAAACTAGAATAGATTCTAGTAGAATAGGAATTTGTTTGCTTTGTCTCCTTCCTTTGGGTCATGTCTGTGGGGGTCCCCCCCCACCTGTGCGGAGCAGTTCAGCTATTTTTAATAGGCCACCTTTCTGGCGCCCAGGCGAACCCGCGCTACGTTTAGGAAAATAATTCAGGAGAAACCTGCAGACATTATTGGGAAGGGGTGTAACCTCCCCTGGCACTCTAAGGCAAGCGACATTCTGTTTGGTGCAGGGGGCGAAAAACACGACCTAACAGTGTTTACCTGTGTATTCACCCATGAAATTGAATATTATAGAAGTTGAAAAAATGCAAATCAAATTAAAACCACGGAAAATTGTCTTTGGAATTACAGCGGCCCGGAGCCCCCAAGTGTTTGCTTAAAATTGAAGCGTTTAGAAAATGAAAAACCTCTAAATTGCCCCCCTCTGCTCCCCCGCTCCCCCCAGGAAGGAAACGTACTCCTTAATTCTACTTTTAATTCTACTACAAAGATGCTGAGGCGGCTCAGACACCCATCGTCCGCCCGAGGCAGCAATCGCGCTGTAATACGACTTCTTCTTAAAAGTGAAGTATCTCCCTTTAGCTAAGCTTTACTAACGTCAGACCCGCTTCAGAAACCGAGAGGCCCCAAGGTCTTCATTCTGAAAGGAGCCCCCAGCCGCTGGACCGGCTTCTCCTCCCCGCGAGGGCCTGGGACCCTCTGCCAAGGCCCCGCCGCCGGCCCCGCCCCGGGTCCGCGCCTCCTGGGGCGTGTGTCTGGCCGCGGTGTCACCAGATCCGGAGCCTGGCCTCCCCGCGCGGCCGAGCGCCGGCGGCGGAGATGCGCGCAGAGCCGAGAAGATGCGCGCACCCCGCCCTGAACTCACTTGGCCAACACAGGACTTCGCAGGGTCTTGGTGGAGGAGCCCGAAAAAGGGAAGCTCCAGACAGATATTATTTCTAAATAATAATAATAATAATAAGCAACAGGCAGACGGGCGGTCATTCTTGCCTTTTCCATGTCCTACAGCGCAGGGGACCGACCCCAGAAGCCCACCCAACGGACGGGCCAACCCCACCCGTAGGCGCCCGGCGCCGCAGGCTTTACTCCTCCCCGCCCAACCAGCTCCCACCAGCCTCGGGGAGACGCAGGAAGTAGAGCCGGGGCCCCGCAGGTGCCGAGGGCGCCGCGATGGGCGGGAGACCGCCGGGAGCGCGGCGGCGGCGGCGGGAAGAGCTGGTGGAGCGGCCCAGCGCTCGGCGCGACACGCGGGCGGTCAAGGGTGGGAGCGGGTCCCGGGCAGCCACGCCCACTGGCCTGAACTGGGACTTTGGGGGTCGTAAGGGACGTGTGTGGCGAGGATGTGCTGGCGCGGCCCGGGAACAGCTTTCCTTTCCGTCGGTGACCTCTGAGGAAGCACTGCCTCTCTACCCTATCCACCCGACCCCAGCCCGGGAGCCTGGTGCCAAGCCCCGTCGAGGGCCGTGTGGCTTTCTCTCCCCTGGGGAGGGAGGACAGTTGGTGGACCCCGCGACGCTCGGTCCTCCCTCCTGGCCTCCTTCTCACACCTCACAGATTGAGGGGCAGCTCCTGTTCCAGAAACGCAGTAACTCCCGTGCAGACCACCCTCCAGCCGGGGCGGGGTGGGGAGCCGCCGACGCCGATTCTCACGTGCAACCTTCCCCTATATTTCCTTTCCAGGGAACCCCTGGATCAAGACCCGCTCAACGACGGCTGCGAAAACAGACCCGTGTCCCCCCGGAACTCTTAACCCGTCCTTAAGCTGTGGTCGTCTCTTGGAGACTCGGGACCCTATTTCCAAGGACAGTTGTGGGGGACAAGCTTATGTTTGTTATTTTCAAAACCAAGCGGAGGAAACAGCAGCCAATTAAAATGACATATTTTTATTTGCCTCGCACGTTGTCAGTGATTTGCCCCCGGGGATCCACAATTTTCCCAAGCCTGTTAACGGGTGACGATGAATGAGTGTCTCGTGTAATTTAATTTTCCTGTCACACTAAATAGAGCTACATTGTAAACCTTAGATCTACTCTTACTGATAGGATCGCCTTGTTTTGCCATTTGCACCATAAAGACCCCCAAAAGGGACACTGTATTGTGACCTCTACTCTTGAATTATTCAAGAACTTAATGACATTTTCCATTTTAAAAAGGAAACTAATTGCCCTTGATGTAAAGCATGTGACCTTCTCTGGGTGCCCAGTATGAGAATGTAACCATCTGTATGCGGACCCCGGAGCCCTGGAACTGCAGGACGCCGGCAAAAATAGGAGAGAGATGTGAACACAAATGAACTCCAAATGGACACTGGAATCAAGCGTATTGTTTAATTTCACCCCAAGCCGTGACATATAGTTCCACAAGATCCTTTAACCTGACCTAAAATCTGTATAAAAAATCCTATCAACTCAGGCCTGTTTTTTCGGGGTGTGACATGACTTTTTAGCTAGGACAGGAACATTGAAAATTGTGAAATCCAGTATCCCTTCATTAATGTGAAATTACTTTGTGTGATATCAAGCAAAATGCGTAATAATCTACACCCGTCCCTTTTTAATTACTATTATTATTATTGCTTTTCATCATGTATTACTACTTTCTTACTCAAAAGAAAAAAGAAACTCACAACTGTAAAGAAATTGCACCATGGTATTTGCTCTTTGAATCAGTCTCGAGTTTCCAGGAAAGCCGCATTGAAATTCTTCAGTATCGGAAATCTCACTCTTCAAATTACTTGAAAATGGAGGCTTATCTTTCTTCAAAATAAAAAGAGTCCTGGTGTATTCCCTACTGGTCTTTCACTCTTTCCCCGGCCCCTAGAGGAAAGCAAAATGAGAAAAAATGCACTTCTCCCAATGTTCTTTGACTTCATAAATTCACAGATCAGTGTACGAAGATGATCTGGTGCTTTTCCTGATTTATCGGAGTAAGTCCACTGCCAGCATTAACCATTTTAAAAGTCTGAGTGAACTGGGAAGTAAAACACTTTCCCATGCTGGGCTTCAGCTATTTCTTTCGAACTTTTAAGTGATGCTTGAGAAAAGGAACTGTCATTTCTGCATCGAGTGGGCAGTTCCTTTAAAAATGACACTGAATAAACACACCCAGGCTTCACTGAGACTAAACATCCTATGTGTTGGGCTGCAAATCCACATCTTTCTCTTTTAGAATCTCTGGAAAAGAATATAAAGTGCATTTGAATATCCAACTTGGTTCTAATGGAGCGCACGTTATGTCAACAAACTGGACAGAATCACTGCTGGGGCAGCCGGGAGAGTCAGAACAGAATACCCGGCCCTCCATCTGTGCAGGGGGAGTAAGTGCTGCTTCGAAGGCGTTTGTCATAAAGCTGTTGTGGACCAAATCATATAATGGAGTTACTGTTTTCATATTTCTTTAAAAGAAACCTGTTTTCCTCGGTGGTGTCATGCCCTCTTTGTGTACGACATGGCAGAAAAAATTGAATAAGGATACATATCTCTTATTGTCAGATAATAAGGACATACTTAAGAAATACATTTGAAAACATTTTCAAGTCAAGAAAAGTTGGAACACGTATGGCATGAGTGGCGATCCATCTTCTTGCATGGTTTCTGTGATAAAGGCAACACTTTCCGGGTCAAATGTTAATTTGATCATAGATATTTTTCATTTGGTTCTCCACATTGAGAAACGTTTTGAACAACTTGATGTAGACTATGAGACACAGAAGAAATGATATGTGTCTCTCTAGCATTGTGTAGTATTAGAATCCAGTAATTTTTCCATGGGGACACATTGGCACTCGAAATGAAAATTTCACCTTTCAAACTGTCACCATGGATAAGTTACAGTTATTTTTCTTTTCATTTTAAAAAGCAACTCTCTTGCTCTAGGACCACTTGAAGTACATTTTAAGTGCTGTGGAAAGTTTGTGGCATCTTTAGGGCTGGCAGAGCCCTCTCCTGGCCTCATTCCTGGGTCTCACCATCTTCTGAATGGATTTCTGTGTTGATAATTCAGAGAGCCAGGAGAAGGGGTTTTATCTTTACTGCGGTAGAGTGGAAGGTGTTTGAGTGGTGTGCAAGAGATTTGATTTAGGGCCATGTTTCATCCAGTTCCATTGCCAGCTCCTGCCGTCCTCCAGAAAAAAAAAAAAAGAAAGAAAGGAAAGGATGGAAGGAGGGAAGGAAGGAAGGGGGAGAAAAGAGAAAAGAAAAACAAAAAACAACGTTGAAAAAATTCTCATTTGGCCTTTCTGAAAGGGTAAGTACCTCACCCACAGGGCAGGATGACACTGTAATTCTTCATCTGGAAAATGGATTCCTTATTTCTCTATCAAGCCTGGTATGAAGGGAAGCACTGGGGCTTTGCAGTTGTGTCTCTTGGTTTTGGTGGCGATCAAGAGAGCTTTGCACTTTGGTTATTTGTAAAGACACTGTACGCTCACTGGAAGGGGAAAATGAGGCAATTACCGAGAGGGAAAGGGAGTTAGCTTAGGGTATCTAGGTGCATAAATATGGTCAGGCCAGTTTGCGCTTATTCCTATATAATATGATGTCTTCAGTTTCCCAGTTTCCAGAAGGGGTTGAGCAGCACCTGGGGTGTGGGGGCTTGTCCTCATCTGTTAATTGACTCCCAGCCAGAAAGACCAAGAGGGACATGTGTTCACCCTCAGCCTGAATTTGGTTACATCCTTCATCTCCTTTACATATTTTAACTGTTGATATATGTTGGTTTGTTTTTTTTAATGTCAGTGCTAGCAACAGTTGACACTAACTTTCCATCTGGTTCTGTTTATCTGAATGCGTACACCTTCGTACATTTACTGGACTTCTGACGCTCCGTTTTTCTTCCCTGGGAAATGACACCAAGACAGGACATCTCTGACATGATTACTAAAAATACCTTTGGAAACACTCAGTTTCTTCTGTTTAGCAAATTCTTATTTTATAAACAGGGACTACAGCCTGACTCTGGGTCAGGACCTTGCCTATGGAGGGAGACGGTGATGCAGGATCAGTAAATGTGTCTGTGGATGTAGAAACACCCTGTTCTGGCAGGTTCTCTTTCTTCAGGGAGCTCAGAGGTACAAAATTCCTACAGGATTTCCCACCTGGTGGGTGAAGCTCATGTGCTACCTACCATACTGGGTTCTCCAGGGCGCAGGTTAGGTGTTTGGATCACGGAGTAATTAAACCTTGGACAAAATATGCCTTGAGTTCATGGAGGCTGAATGCTCTAGGCATAAAAGACATCAATTTTGTAATGAAAATATAGGGACTCTTCAAAGTGTGCCGTCAGGATGTAGTTCAATTTTCAAACGAAATTCTAACGACTGCTTAACTCTCTTTGACTGCATTCTTACTTTTTCTCTAGCTTTGCTTATTCACAGATACTGGAACAAAAAGATGAGATGAAGGGAGGAGGCTTGTTTTCCTAAGAGGTGCACGTGACTGAAAGCATACAAGCTTCTCCCCATACTGAACTTTGACCATCACAGGAGTGTCCCTAAAAGTCTATAACTCTGCTGTCAGACTGCTCCTGGGGGCTTTCCCCATAGTTTTCCATGAGTGTCTGAGGAATGAGGTGGGTGCTGGGCATGAATATGAGCTCTCAGCATAAGGGAAGAGGGTGCATGAAAATCGCGATTTGCAGACTTGGACCAAACCATCCAGCCAACAACCACCAAAACTAGTCAACACAAAGATATTAAACCATAAAAGAGTTGATTTGTCCTGCTGTACAAATTAAAGTTGCCCAAGTAGACATTTAACCTCCCCTGAAGTTACTAAAGCTTCTAATGCATGAATAATGACGAGCAGGCACGTTTTCTGTCCTTGGCCTAAGACATCATTACTTTTCAATGACCGGAAAAAGTCCATAAACACAGAGTGATTGTCTGGGGCAAAAGGTGGTCCAGGACCCATCCCTCGTGGGGTTTTTTTGCTGGCCAATAAGGCATGGGCAATTAGTCCCTGCCTCACAGAAGGGACAAGAGTGGCCAGCCTGGAAACAGGCCCAATAAGTCCCCCAGCCAGGTGCACATTCCCCAAGGGGTTCAGAACCCGATGGGCACACCCATGGAGGCCTCTGCCATCTGCCCAGCATGGCACACACACGCAGTGCTGACAGGGACGCATCCCCAAAGGAAGGGAGTGGCCAGGACCTGGGCGTGGCCCGTGTGGACAGAGCTGTACTGTCCTTAGTATCATTTCTAGGTGTTGGGGTGAAGAAGGGCACCAAAAACAGGGATGGAGCTCAACTTGTTTAAAGGAAAAAAGTCACCTCCGAGGGGCGCAGGACACCTCTCCTTTTTTGAAGACTGAGGGTCCCTCACAGCTGGCCCTTTGCTGCAGGGGGGGTTTCTAACATAATGTGATTTTTCAGTGTGCTTTGTCTCCGTGGAGAGGCTTCAGAAGGCCCTTGAAGTCCTCAGCCTTAAATCCATGTTAATAGGGCAAGTGTCTTTTTTTTTTTTTTTTTTTTTTGGTAGTGGGGAGGTTTGGCTGGGAGAAGCGTTGACCCAGACTGCGCTCTGGGTAGACCCGATATTGTCGGCAGGGCACTTATTAACCAGTGTTCATTTGCAGGATCAATATTTCCAGCAAAGGAGTCCACACTCCAGATACACAACTATGTCTCGTTTTTTTCCCTTGACACACCATTTATTTTATAAATACATCTGCCGGAGAAGAAAAGGCTGTCCGAAGGACTGTGTCTTTTATCTCCGGGATATGCAAAGCACATTTATTTTCAGCTTTTATCTCCGGAATTGTATGTTGATCCCATACATATAGATTGATTTTGTTCAGGTAGATAATGAAAAGTCAAGTGGAAAATTACACAATGGCACTCACGATCCTGGTCTTATATCGGTATATAAATTGGTTTATTATTTCATTCTATTAAAGAGGCTTTTTTTTGGTACCAGGAAAACTTCAAAATACATCAGGTTGTCAGCCTCACTGAATTTTCTTTTGGAGGAGGAAGTGGGGAGGGAGAGCAGGAGAAGGGAATTTTTCTGGCTGCCTCTGCTAATTGCACGGGCTAAATGAGCTTGCACAGGGCAGGGTCTGCAGCTACCTCCCTGGCCCACGTCGAGGTTACTCACGCAGTTTCTGTGACTCTGGGACCTTTCTGGGGACAGGACAAAGGCGCCCATCACACATGTCCTGATACACAGGTGGGTATTTTTTCACTCCAGGCAATTCGAAATTTTGTCACGATGACTGGATAGGCAAGCCCTCCCACCCCCAGCACCAAGAGGCCAGGGGTGAGAAGGTGGCTGCCAGATAAAGGCCACCACCAAGGGACAGCTTGGAGCCAGAATCCTGGAGGAATCGTTATTAATAAACATCTTCTGGACATTTGGTAGCCCGTGGAGCCTGCTTCAGCTTAAAGCAATTAATTCAGGACACTGACATAAACTCTCCAGGTCTTTGACAGCTTGGAGCCGAAATAAAAATGCTAGTTCTCCGGGGAAGAGAAGAGGATGGTTAGCTCTTTTCTGGACTGTTTGCTTATAGGCCCAGAGAGCAACCTTCCTTGCAGAATGAAATGCAAGGGCACAAACAATGTACCAGGGAGAGAATAGGAGATGGGAATGAGCAGTTTGAACTATTTGCTCAGCAGAAGGGCACCACAATGCTGGGCTGCTGGCTTTCCCATGCAGCCGTCGTCCCTTCTTTGGGGTCTTTTGTTGTCCCCTGGTTCCTTTGGCCAGATAAGAGCACAGCTGCAGCGTTGCTGCTAAGTAAGGCCGCACTTATCCCCCTAAATCTCGGGGTGTCTTTACTGTAAGGGTGAGGCTTGGCTCTCTGTTTTTTCCTAGGGGACAGTGAGGGAGAGAATGGCAGAATGGGGGGTGGGGGACTGTGACATTTCCTGTGTCCAAATTCCTGATTTTTCTTTCTTTCTTTCTTTCTGAAATCCAACCTGTGATCAAACAGGATCTTTGTGGGGCATTTAAATGGAAGGGTTCAGAGATCTGTACTGGTTGCCAAGCCAAAATATTGCCTTTGGGGGAAAGGAAGGGAAGGAGGTGAGGGTGTAATGCAGGAAAGGGGAGGGTGAAGCAGAATTGTTGGTTTAAACACTCAGATTTTATGGCTGTTAAGAAGAAGAAGTTTCGAATTGGCCATTTTGAAACTGTTCAGTGATGATTTTGTCACTTCTGAAAATCATCGTGGACTCCTCCTTTCCACACTGATGTTGTTGAGTCCAAATGAATAGAGGTTGCCGGAATCAGAGTAAAAACAGGATGAGCTGGCGATGGGACATAAAAGGTACTTTTGTAATTGCTGTAAATTACACCTTTAATCAGAGTAAATGTCACCGAAAATATAATCAAAATGTTCTTTCACATTTGCTCTTTTAAAGTCAAAGCCTATTTTAAATGCCATAAGAGAAAGTAGACGTGATAATAATATAAAAATAAGCACAAAGTATGGTTTACATTAGGTCAATTTTAAAGTCAAAATTTTACACAGATTTGTACCGTCTGTGCGTTCGGACTCTGGGTTTTACCATGGATGTTGGATTGAGAGCCAGGCAACAAGGCTGCATTCTATTTGAAAAAGGTTTATTTAGCCTGAATGGTTTTATAAGGTGAAAAGGCAAAAAATTTACCACCAAAGAAAATTAATGGTTTACTAAGATTGCATGAAACGTTCGCAGGCCAGAAGCACACCTGCAGGAAATTTGAAGTTTCAATGCTGTTTGTGTGTTTTTTTTCTCACAAAACTCACAGAAAAAAACCCTTCCATAGATTTTTCCTGCTGGGTGGTCAGAAGGGAAGGCCATGAAGCCAAAGGCCTCCCATTGAGATGCGGCTCCTGAAGAGCTGACCTCAAGGGGCGGCACCGCGGGAGATAGAGCACCTGTGTCTGCTCTGGGTGGCCTCGTGCCTGCCCACGGCCACGGCCATGCGGGACAGGGCAGCCCTGCCTGCCCACATGCCTACTGACTGCCCACCCCACTCAGGACGTCCTGTGGGATGCCCCTGTCCAGGAGAGCTGCTAAGTAGTTTTAACGTCAGGGAGATCAAATTTGGTTAAAAGGGTTTGTGTGTGTGTGAGTGTGTGTGTTCTGGCCTGTGTGCGATGCAGGGGAAGGGGATGGAACATAGGGAGGGTTTCTTTTAGACATTTGCACATGTTTGATGGCCCCATAAAAGGTTGTAACATTTTCGTTGTGTCATTTTTGTTACGATTTGTATAAACACGTATGTAAGAATGATGACTTTTTTTTTTTTCTGTAGGGAC